CAGAATTCTGCAGAAATGACTGGCACAACTTTAGTGTGATCTCTGCCACTCTTTCATGATCCAGTGGTAGCCAACTATAACAGGATAATAACATTCGATTTCCCAACCATTCAATTGTAACAACAGCATACAAATTTCACAGTTCACTTATTAAAACTACTACAGAACTTCAAACTAACCACATATTTTACATTTCTCCTTTCAATCATGGCAATACTTAACTAAACAAATATGCTTTAACTTTTGCCACTGCAATCTCGATCAATCAAACTCCAGCTTCCTCAAAACATGGCATAAAAATTTTTAATGCTGTCATATTCATTAGACCTCAGCATGTTATTTCAACATGCAAACAGTTGTAGTGATCCCAAGAGTCAATCAGATGCTTTGACCATGAGTTCATATCTTGCAAGTTCAAATATCTGAAACTACCAGATGGGTGCTCTTTTGTAATACAGTCAAAAGTCGATAATCCGGACTTGTCGGGACTTCGGCGATTCCGGATTATAGATCATCATTAAAATCTCGTAAGATGGCATGCAGAAATTCTAAAATTAAAGATATGAAACCGTAATTTATGAAATAAAGAACAATTATAATCTAAAGGGTATCAAAATTTTCAAAAAGAAAAAGCTTAATATTTATTTGTTTACTTTATTAAACATTTCTTTCAATGTAAGTTGTTTAAGTTTTGCTTCGTTTCATGTGATAATACTTTCTCTTTAATTCTATTAAACAGACATAATTTCTTGTTCAGTTACAAAGTTCCGCTGTTCAAGTCCTATAATTGCTATGTCGAGAATACCGACTAATTTGTCAATCGAAATTTTTTCGTTTTCAATAACCTCTCTGTCACTTTCTTCACTATCGGAAGCGAAATTATAATGATGAGGAACTTGATTTAAATCATATCAAAGACGGAGTATATCGAGATGAAATACTACATTTAGTAAGGAATTATAAGCCAAATAAAATAAAAACATCTGCCCCTGAAGATAAGGGATAGTGCTGACAGATCAACTTCCAATTCATTACGCGCCCGTTTCCGCGGCGACCCCACCCGCCACAGAGCAGCGTGAAATTGATAAACAGATTTCGGATTTCAAAAACATACTTTCGCTTGTAGAATCCTTTACAGATTAGTAAATATATATCGGAAATTCTATTTGATATAATCAAAAGTTTAAGCTTACTTTTATAAAATTGCTCTTACAGCCTGCAAAAAATAATAAGCCGGATCCAATTCGAAAATTAAGGAACAACACAATCATCAACATTAACTGAAATAGATAATTAGATAATTTTAGCTTATACGTCCATTATACATAAAACGCGCGCGCGAAAACGTATTCTGCACTTGCACACACTCATATGCGCAGTCGTAAAATGTCTTACGCGCACGCGTAAACGCCTATGCGCATGTGTCAACGCGCCGCATGCGCAGAAAGTTTTTAGTTTTGAGGTCCGGATTATAGATCATTCCAAATTATGGGTGTCCGAATTAACGACTTTTGACTGTAGTGGAAAGAGATTTAACTGCTACATAACAGATCCATGATCGAACCATCAAGGTCACTTACCATTATCAAGGACAAAGAAACTCGTTCACTGCAGTTCTCATCTGTGCTAATTGATGCTGACATAAGCAAGCAGCCCACCAGCGGCCGAGCGGTAAAGTCGCTGAACACTGGTAGTTCGGTCCGAGGTTCGAATCCCGCGAACGGGCTGGCTGCATGGGCGTTTTCGTGGTTTTCCCCATGTGTAACATGTATACGAGTCAGTTTCCCTTAGAAAGTCCTCCACGAAGGCATCCCTCCCTCTTAGGCAGATAGCCCTAGTGTGCTTTGCCGTAATTAAATACACACACACATAAGCAAGCAACCACATACCAAGAGGTGTAACTGAGTAATTCCACAGGACTGCCAAGCTCAGGAAACAAGCTGAAACAGCTGATTTTTTCCTTTGTGTAAAACAATTTCAAAGACCATGCCTTATCAATTAAACTCAAAAATGACTTAAAGTTTCAAGAATATAAAGCAGTACAATAAATTGAACTTCTGCAGGTGGACAGCTTGTTTAAAGATAATTCTATAATTCTATTTGAAAATCCAGTCATCTGAGGATAAAGTGCTATCTATCAACAAAAAAATTCCAAATTAATGGTATGAATTTTGGTGCATATATTTATACAGGGTTGCCACTCAAACAGGAGAATGAAATTCCCTGATTTTTCCAGGTTTTCCAGGTGTAATTTAAGAAAATTCCAGTCTATCCGCATAATGCATGCTGGCTGCGCTAAGAGGTAAATTAATTATGGCATTACTTGAAAACACAAAAATCTGCTAATTACGTATGACTTATATCCCCAAAGCATTACTATTATAATAAAAGTTGGTTTCTTCACTGAAGATTGAGATTAGAATCCCAATCTGGAATAAAAGAAGGCCTCCCCCCCCCAAGACATTTTGCAGCTAAATGAATGAAAGAAATCTATTTAATGATATTTTAAAAATAAATTCAGGTATTTTATATTTATTATGCAGCATAAATAAGCAAAGAGTATGTGCACTAAATTTCGTGATGGTATGTCATCATACTGCTAGAATTATTTTCAGGATATGCCAGAGAATATTTCCCTAAATTTGGAAATATTTATTAATAATAAATAAATTTAGAGGGAAGAAGCAACATTAAAAGATACGAATAACATAAAAAAAGATAATTACTTAAAAATTGAATTAGAATAATCAATGCTATTTTAGCGAATATAGTTATATAACATGGTTAGCTTAGATGACTGATTACTATTTTTTTATTTTACTGAAAGATAACTAATAAGGCATTTAATAATAAAAAAAAAAAGGTTTAAAAGATTTTGTGGTAAAATCCTAGTATATGGTCAAGCCTTGGCACGATTTAAAATTGTCGTCAACACCAAAATGACTCGTTTACTACTCATCATAATGTCGCCAAATTCCTTGTATACCGTACATGGAGGTTATTCTAACCAAAGATTGTCTATGTAAAGAAGAGAAGGTTCCCATAGACAATAATGACATTACTCCGCTAGAAAGCCGAAGAAAAATTTGTCAAGGGATTTCGCGACGGAACCTGGTGGCCAGAACTTCCCTCTCCGCGATGTGTACAGGAAATAGAGGAACACGTGTTAAGAAGAAACATTCTTTGAGAAAACGTTTCTTCTTTGATTTTTCGCAATAATTCAAAAACGGATTTTCATAGTTTTCCCCTCCTCCGAATAACTAATCCATTACTTAATTTACTTGCGCCAAAAAACATTTTCTTTTCCTTTAAAGAAATGTTAAACGATATTCATTTTATGAACTCTTGATAACGTGACCTTCAAACTTCAGCACTGGCTTCAAGCTTTGGCGACAGATATTTCTCGCATGCACAGCTCTACATTGGAACGGAGCCATGCCTGTTGCAGAGAGGTTTTCCTTCTTTACAATACATATTCTTTGAATCTAACCTCCATGGTTCCGTATACTAGGATTAAATCCATTTTCTTTTATACGAGAATAAGTATTTTCTTTAGTTCAACATATACTGAACATGCGATTCTCTCGATTCTCGAAGTTACTGGAAACCAAAAGTTGCTGGAATCTTGCTTTACCTTTCTAAAACACAATCTAATTGGAGCTGCAAAAATTGACTCTATGCCAGCTGCCCGAATGTTTACACAATACACAATTCACCAAAAAAGTGATGGCTCCCAACGTCGGTGCAAAACTCGCTTTTTTTTTGCTGGGATCACTGTATGAAATACCCCGACTTTTTCAGATTTTGACTAAAATATTTAAATTCCCTAACTTTTCCCTGAATTTTTTTTTTTTTTTTTTTTTTTTTTTTAGCAATTTTCGAATTTCCTGATGTTTTTCAGTTTTCCAGGTACAGTGGCAACCCTGCTTATATGATGACTCATTCAGTTTTTATGGACCTTTATAAATCAACGAAGTTTATCCAATCCATAAGGATTGCATAAGGAAATATCGTAAAGTTAGGTAAATGTTTCGTGCATATTTATACTTTTCAGAATAAAAGTTTTAATTGATTCCCTGTTTTCCTTTACTAATTATTTTCTGTCCTATTTTATCGCAATTTTCTCATATTTCTTAAAGGTTTTGTATATTCATAATTTACATTTAGTATCTGTTAGCAATAATTGTTTCTTTCAGCATTTAATACATTTACTTTTTTAGCATGTGCAATTCTGCATAAATATATTTTAAAACTCCAAGCAGCATAAGGCCTTGATCATATTGGAGAATCAAACAAGAATTGATGTAATATTTGTAAATTTTGCAGGCAATTTCGATGGTTCTGTAATTAACCATCAAAACTAGTCCTGCAAAATTTACTAATATATTACACTGATTCTTGTCCTCTGACTTTTTCAATATTCATTATTCGGCATGTTATTTTAACCTAAATCCTTGGCAATATTATAGAACATTTCAAAGTCCTGAATGCATACATATCTCTGAACAGATTTCTCGAGCACAACTGTTAACTCCTTTCCCTTCTGCAAAAGCATAAATAAAACTATGTGGTCCGTTTAGTGAAATTAATTTTGCTTTAGGGTGGAATTTTGTTCAGTTCAAGTACACAGTGACTTTCTTAATGAGGAAACCTGCAATGTTGTAGCATCTTCATAAGTTATGGATATCTTTTGGTTCTTCTGGAGTATCTCCAGAACTTCTTAGTTCCTTCATTTGTAATAATCATTATTATTTGAAGCAGTAAAAAAAGGATCATGTTTTTGACTTTAACCTGCCTAATTACTTGGATCTAAACTAACTATTTACATGCACAATATGGAAACTTATTTGAAGCAGTAAAAAAGGATCATGTTTTTTTACTTTAACCTGCCTGCTTACTTGGATCTAAACTAACTATTTACATGCACTATATGGAAACGAAGTCATATTAAATAATAAAAATACCATCAGTTTTATCAAAAAAATGCAACAAAATATTACCAGACATTCTTCCTCAGCATTGGAGCTAAAAGACCATATGTTAACTTGAAGCGTTTTTGTACACAGTTTTCCAAGTTGGACACTGAATCGAAATGTTTCCCCGATGGTTGGTTTGCTTAAATTTTCTAATACACTAGTAGTAAAAGTACTTAATTCATCACTAGTTATTGGCAGCAATGCAACTTTAATACACCTAGAAAGAAAAAAGATGTTTGCTTTATTGCCATGTTAATTTTAGATGAACTAGCAATTTACATTTAATTTTTTTTTTAACCGTTACATATAAAAATTTAATATCTGGTTTTAACGGAAGTCTTGCACCAAAAAACATTCTTAATAAAATTTAAAAAAAAAAAAAAAAAAAATGAAAACAGTACCTTTAGTGCAGGTAATAATCACCCCCCAAATCTAAGATTTTCTGCCAGCCTTTCGGTAATTTTTTAAAGCCTTCAGCTTAAAAACACGGTAGACGAGAGTTTAAAAACAGATCAACCTCATTTCTGACATCATGAGCAGAATAGAAGATAGCACCAGCAAGATATAGCTGCAGGTGTGAAATAAGGTAGAAGTATGAAGGGGTGATGTCGGGACTATACAATGGGTATAGCAAAAGATCCTGTTTGAATCCATACAGAGTCCAGCAAGTGAATACAGACAACACATGTGGTCTTGCATTATGTTTTTGCGCCAGAACTCAGTTCGACGTTTTCCCTTGATAGCAGCGTCAACAAGGACTACCATCTTGCTGTACACCTTTCTATTCGAGAGTTTTACTTTTTTCCAGATACTTTTTGTGAATAATACCATGGCAACCCCACCAGATACAAAGCAGGATCTTTTTGTTAGTGAAATTGCAGTCTGTGATGCTGCCGACGGGTTCACCAGGCACAAGCCAACCCCCTTTTAGTTCTACGCTGTTGAAGTAAATCCACTTTTCATCAAAAGTGACGATCCAGTCCAGAATTTTGTCCTTGCGTTGATATTAGAACAGATAACTGCAGGCCCGAGCATGTGTGTCGTTATCTGCTTGAATCAGCTCATGTGAAACCCAACGATTGAACTTGTACGTCAAGTTTATGTGATCCATAGTGCGACTAATACACATGGCACTGCTGTCTAATGCCTTAGCAAGCTCTCGAGTGGTTGCATACTGATCTTCTTCCACAAATTCTCACAGGGAGGCCTCATGAACATCAGTAGGCAGGCCAAAGCACTCTGGTTCTTAAATGTCATAGTCCTTGTTTTTGAACTTTTGGTGTCAAACCTTCACAGTGTCATAAGATACAACATTAATACCTAAAGCTCTACTGTGAAGCTGATTTGCTGACATTTTGTAGCTGAATGTTTGCAACAGAACTGGAAGTAAATGATGTTTCTAAACTGGTAGTGTGATAGTTCCATTTCAGGCACCTTAATTATAATGACATTATTTTAAAAATTTCCCAACACAGTGGTCTAAAGCAAGTCTCTTTCTTTCAAATGCCAAAAATCAATTGACAAAATACATTAATAATAACATTTGACAAATATATTAAACCAGCCAAGACGAACTGTTGGCACAGACGGTATTTGTGGTGGGGTGGCGGGAAGCTTTCGTTAAAATCTGATACTTCGTATGTTTAATAAATCATAAAAGAAATTATTATCCATACAGCACTTTCATATAAGATTAAGTTAGAGAACTAAAATGAGATGATAATTTGGATAAATGAAAAACTGAACTTTTCATAAAAAGAATAGGATGGAGGGGGAACACAAAACAGAGAGAATATAATATTTTCTGGATACGTATCTTATTTTAATATTTGAACTTAATCTTTCTATTGCTTATTTAGTTACAATGCAGCTTTTATACCAACTAAGAATTATTTTCCTTCCTTTAAATTTCTCCATGTCCTAATTCCTACATACCACGCATGCAAGCACACACACAATGAAGCAGCCTTTTCGATTCCATAGATGCAATGTTGTAGGAATAGTGAATGTGCAAAATTAGATGTAATGATGTAGAAAGCATTGATTTCATAGTTATCAAGAAGTTGATATATAATAAACACACTTGGCAGCTGAGGCAAATTAAATATTCATTTTTATTTCAATTTACATCTGAAATGACAATTTATTTGGTATTCTAACTGAGCATATTTCAAATATTTTACATTTTTAATAGCCTTGCAATAAAAAGAGCAGCAGCAGCCTATCTAGGCCAAGATGCAGAGAGCAAGTGCTTAATTATCCAATATGAAAGCTTATTAACAGAAGGATTTTGGTTCAGGAAATATTAAGTTCTAAATTAGCTACATCATAACTGTTATGTTAAATTCACAGGATTCGGATTAGTCTAAAAATGATGCTGTTCAGAAAAAGTTATTACTATTTTTAGAATAAAGAGGGGAAGTAACCAAATTAAAACAATAAATTAAAGGGCTATTGCTAATTTAAATTATAAGTTTGATTTATGTATTTTTACCTTACATATTTATGTTACTGTGAAAGACCGAAATTAGGAGAATGTCGACTTTCTTCAGTGATATCAACATCCACATAGTTGCTTAGAGCATGTCCGAAATATTTGCTAACTATCATTATTTCACACCAGCAAATGTCAACATTAACGATACATTCATTGATGGTGAATAAAAATATTTGTTATGTTTTTAAATCGTAGTTTAATATTAAAACATCTATGTTAAAATAGGAGAAATGTTAACTAACAGAACATTAAAATAAACTGCTGAACCTAAAAAAGAAAGTAACAGCAATAATTAACTTAATTGTGTGATTGGTGTTATGCAATTTTCTTTATTGTAACACCTTAAACTGTTATGACATGAATTGATCAAGAGTCCCTTGCTTTTACAACTGCTTTTGGTCGTGAAACATCTCTCATTTCTCGTCTTCACATTTCAACCTCTGCTTGTTGATATACATCAGTGATGGTCCAAATGTATAAGAACATAATCAAATATTTGGTCTTTCATGATGTATTCAGTATGTGTTGATATTTACCAGAGAAATACCAAACCTTCTCAAGCTTTTTTCACAACAACATACAGTATATATGTAAGATATAAAAAAAAAAAATACGATCGCGATTTTTCTAGAAGCTACTCTATTACATAACCTCCTCATATAAATGCTGCGTCATAAGTTTTCCTACATTTTTCTAGAAGCTACTCAGTTACATAACTTCCTCATATAAATGCTGAGTCATAGTTTCCTACACAGATGCCTTCTGTCTTGTCCCTGCTAACTCTCCGCTATGCTCCTCTTCGTTAGAATGTTAGACGTTAAAATTTAATTCAGTCGTCGTATATAATAGTACAATTACTGAATAAGTAATTTGATTAACTTCATATGGAAAAAATCATCTGCTCTAAATTAAAATAAAGATGTGCTGTTAAAAGTGAAAAGTCCTGAGTTGTCATTTTTCTCCGTGCTTCAATCATCCCAGCTTCGTCAACCATCTGCCAAAACGTGTAATGGAGCCTCACCATTCACCTACGATGTGTTGGAATAACTGAAATATTACATATGTATGAATTGTAAAAGGTTTACATTAAAATACCTAGTAAAAGCCATAAGAATATTTGGACTCTACCTATCCCTATTTCCGAATTACATTGCAAAAGGAAAATTTTAATAACCAAAATTTTAGCAAACAACATTTGAACCAAAAATGCTAAAAACATAAAAATGGAAACAGGAGTTTCAAAAACATATGTTAATCTCTTTTATTCAAAGCTTCAAACAGAACTTGTCAAGGAAGTGTTTCTGAGCTTTAAACTAATTTGACTAACTAGAACAAGTTTTGCTCCAACAAATTCACCGAGACTTTGAACGGCAAAACGAATTAAAATTTTTTAAGGTACCTATACAAATGTACTGTCTCACTGAATTTGTCTCTTTTCCCGGCTTGTTTCAGTTTTCCAAGTCACAACAGTATTGAAAGTTGAAATAAGTAATACTAGATACAAAACGTGAAACTGATATACAAGTAAAATGATAAAATACAAGTCTTAAATAGGAATTTGCCTATTAAGAATAAAATAAATACAAAAGAAAAATTATAATAAAAAATACTAAAAGAAAGCTCAAACTATTTTCATTCATGAAAATTAATTTGATTGTCCAGTGTACAGGCAAAAAAGTTTTTTTCTGTTTGAATGTATGAATTAATAAACTTTTGATAAAAAATTTTAAAAAATTAAATTTATAAACCTGTGAAAGTAAAAACTGGGAAGAGCAAATTTGCTAAACAAATTTTTGGTAAAGCCAAAGAATGATAAAATTCTTACCTTGAAGTAGGTGCGAGCTCCGCTGCAATTAAGCTATGCAAAATCCAGATGTGAAAAGGCTGCCATGCTTGAAAACTAACCCTACAGCATGGTAACCAGAAAATTGAAACCATCAATTTCAAAAAATGGCAAAGCATTCAAAAAAAGAAACAGGTCTTTGCAATCTCTTTTGTTATGCCAATGGAGGCTTGTTTAAAATTTATGGCAAAGTGCTTGATGGCTGTTTCTCTAAGGAAAGGGAAGACTTCAGGGAGGACTTTCTTAAGGGAAAGTGGGTCATATACATGTTAAACATGGGGAGCCATGGAAATGGTCACGCAACCAGCCCATTCGCTGTGATTAGAAGTCTGGACTTATCAGTATTCAGTGACTTTTAGCACTCGGCCACTGGTGGGCTCATTTTGTTTAAAAGATCATTTAAAAAATACTATTCTGCAATTTTAACATTTAAAAAATTGCATAAATCAAAAAAAGTCAGAAGTTACCTCTTGGATGAAAAATTATACTTCAAGCACCTACCTATTCAAATGTTAAAAGTTTGTTTATTGTGATGACTTCAACATTTATTACTTTTTTAAGTTGGTAACAATTGAAAAGTCACTAAAACATCTTTTGCAAACATATATACACCTCTAACTAACTATAATCAAAAGCCTACTGAAAATTTTTTTCAAACTGCAATCATCATTTAAAAAAGAAATCATTTCTGAACATGATATACATTGCTAAGCATAATTCGATACAAATGCTACAATTCTTCCTGTCTTTACCAATTATCCATCTCTTCTATATTTTAAGCACATACACAACAAAAACAATTTTTAAATAATAGTCCTTACAGCATAGTTTTTCATTGGTTTTTATATTTCAAGCCAGACTGATGAACAAAATCACTGTACTGAAGATATCTTATAAGGGTTGGACTATATTTCTGAAGTTTCACATACTGCTCATTAATGAAGCAAAAACTATTTCATTATTTTATGGCATAATTAAATCAACAATCTTTTTCAAACAGGTTCACAAATGTTTATACCAAATGTTGGTGCATATGCTTTCATAATAAACTCTCTTTCACTAAGTGAATAGAACTATTTCACATTAAAGCAGAACAATTCTTAAATTAGCTACATAAAAACTGTTGCACAGCTAATATTGCAAATAACTTCTAAATAAAATATCCTAAAATTTGATACATTTATAAAAATAAAAAGAAACTTAAGTACAAAGGGGAAAAGAAAACTTATTTACACTTTATGATGTTCTGGGACAGATAAAGCTGTTAAATTTCGAGCTCTCTCAATGCCAACATGTAACAGTCCATCTTCTAGAGAATACCTAAAATATACAACAATATTTAAATAATATTGCAGAAGAATAATTTTATGAATGCAATAACAGCTACCATATTTACATTGCACTTATGGGAAATAGTATATTTTAACTTTATTTTACTTTTTCAATCTGAAAAGCTCAGAAGAACAAACTACTTGGCACAATACAATTTTAAATATAGTGGTACCTCTGGATATGACATTTTAAGGATATGAGCCACTGTTACAGAATTTTTTTTTTTTTTATATGATGCAAGTAAAAATCAAGATACAGTCCAAGCAAGAGGTTTACTGTACCACTACTAGTTGGTGAGTAAAATCACATTTCAGTTCATGGGTAATCTTGCATTAAATGCATATAAAACATTATATTTTCAGCTCACTTTCTAGCATTCTTCACATGTTTGTGAAGTTATTTTGCTATTAAGATACGTTTATAATTGACATAAAAATATAAATTTATGCTCATGATTATTATTAAGATAACGATGATTATTTAGAAGGTATGCTCCAAGCTTCGATATATAATTCCTGCATCCAAAAGATGGCACTATTCTGCATATGCATTATTACACCTTTAATGACTAAAGAATGAGTCACATGATGAAAATTTGTATAATAATACACTAAGTTAAATTTTGAGCTAAAGATGCTTAATGTAGAATGTCCCATGGAGAGTAAAATTTGTTCTATAGTTTCCTTTTTGAATGCAAAGAAATATATGACCACGCAAAATCCATAGCTAAATCTGTCAGGTCAACGCGATAGAGCTGTTAAGTGAGGAAATTATTATAAGGGCTTTGTTGTTCAATTCAGGAAGAGCGAACATGCACAATGAAATGTGAAGTGGCAAGGCATCTGCTGTGAATGATGAACTAGTTCATCAGGTTAATGGAAAAATTCTTGCAAATAGATGCTTCACTATCTCCAATCTTTTGTTGATGTCTTCTGAAGTTTTGCATACCGTTCCATATGAAACTGTTACTGAATGCTGAGGTTATTGAAAAATTTGTACACTGTACACACCATCTTATAAATTGAAATAAACTTGCTACAGCTTTAATCTTTCAAAGTTGATTTAAGTCTAAACGCTATGAACTGTTGAATAGGTTCACACTGGAGACAAGACTTGGATTTCACACATCACACCACCACCAAAATAACAATCAATGGGATAGAAGTACTCCACTCGCTAGTTCAATAGACAATTTCTAAACACAAAACCATTTTCTGGGCTAGAAAGGTGTCACATTATTAGATTTCACAGCAACAGACAAAGCCATCATTTCTGCTGCTTATGGTCCAACACTGAAAATACAGTGACATGCCCTTCAAAATAATAAATATGACTTGCTTTGTGATGGTGTCATTTCATTGCATCACAATGCCAGACCGCATTTCATTCGTGTAACTCAATCTCGTCAAGTCCTTCAGCTGGGAAAAATGAACCATCCATTATATAGGTCTCACCTGGCATGAAATGATTTTTACCTATTCTTGCATTTGAAGTGATTCTGCAGTAATGGAACTTTCTGAACAACCCTCGTACATTTGTAACAGGTTTTAAGAAAGTAAGTAATGTGAAGCTATGTCCCTAAAGCACGAAATCATCAATATACATGAGCAAGGTGTATGTGCAGCCCCACCTTGGCGAAGCACAATTGGCAAAGCAGTATGAGCGCACTACTTCTACAATACTGACACAGTTCCCGCACTAATGGCTTAGCACCAAACAAGGACATTACAATCACAAAATAGCAGATTGTAAATGAAAAGAAGCAGAATCTGCTGTTAGTGTGCCTGATGGATTAACCCTTTGACTGTCAAGGCTATATATACACACACACATATATATTATATATATATATATATATATATTGCTTCAAAAGGAAACATTAAAGCAGAACAAAGTATCAAAATCCATGAATATACTTGCACTTGATTTACATACACTCTCAGAATTTAAATGATATTGTAGAGTAGTTCGTAACAATAATTAATCATTTATTTGTTTGCATTAAATTTCATTTAAATTTATTAACTTTAAATTTGCTTTTTACGAATAGAGAACGTTTGTTAAATTCAAATATATATATGTACGTGCCTCTTAAAATATGCACTAGTAATTAAGGTAACATGTTAAAAGTACATAAATCCAATAAACCACCAGAGGCATTCTGATATTAAATCAAGAAATAACTTTTTATCATTCTAATTTTTGAAAATTTGTGATTTCTAAGAGAAAACCTGGGTCAGTCAGAGGGTTAAAAGATGCTGTGACCAAGGAAATTATCTGTGAGAACACATGAGTTATACATACACTGACTTACTGAAAACCACCCCACACTCTTCAAACAATGAATCTGATGAGACACTCAAGGTAAGTCATGTTTGATTTGAAATGTTTAAAAGGCAAACTGGAATTTACTGTCAATAGGCATCATGAAGCACTAAGCTCAAATATGAAATGCAACAAAGGACTTCCTAAAAACTATTGTGGCACTGATAGAAGCTGCTGGATACATTCTCCCGCAAGTCTCCCACCATGACAAAACAGGGTTTTTACAGAAGAAAAAGGCCAGAGCACACTTATATTAAGGGTAAAGGAATCAAAAATGCTAGGCCACAAACCTGCAAACCCTTGCACTATGTGCAAATGCAAATAGTAACTTGAAAATAAAGCTGCTGCTGTTTACATTACTTACAGTACATATACTACAATTTCCGAGTTTAACATAATTTTGAAAATACTTAGAGAATTTTTTTCTCTGGCATTTAATAAAAAATTGGAAAAAAATATGAAAATGGGAAAACTTTAAAAAGTGAGATTCAATAATCTTTAATATTTAAAGATTTTTAAACTACCTTAGTTTCACTTGCACTTGAGCAGTTTCCAGATTTAATTCACTAAGACCAAACCTATCTTCTGCAGTCCTATATAGTAAAGGAAAGAATATAATTACTAAAGAAAATCAAAGGAATTTTTTTCACAGATAAAATATTTTTTCACAGATAATCTTTAGATCTTTCTTGCCTAAAAACATGTTTTACATGATCATACTACAATAAATCTACATCCTCACAAATATCATGGCTCAGAGTAACAATTTAGAGCCTCAAACATAATAAACAATTTACAGCTTTCGTGTTTTAAAATAATTTGTGTATTAAATGAATATAACTCTACCACATTTATTCCATATACTCACAAATACTATGAATGGTTCAGGGCAACAACAAATTTGCTTTTCATTTACTCAAAAAAATTTCATCACTATATCAAAAATCCACAACACCATACCTAATTATTTAGCTGAATACAACAACATATAAAATTTAAAAATACGAAACCAGCTTTTAAGATTTCTTTTTGGAATGCTGGCAGATTTACTCATGACAAATTTACTGAATTGAAGACTGTTATTTCTAATCATGATTTCACATAATGGGCATTGTTGACAGTGGAGCCACTGAAGACAATGAAGTATATTTTAATATTCCTGGATATCAGAAATTTGTGTTAAAGCGATCAAGGCAAATTGCTTCTGGCATTATTGTTTTTGTAAAACTTTCTTTAAAAGTAGAGTTAATTGCCTCTTGCCGGACGATTACTAACGATAAACTAGAAATCCTGAAAATTCATGTAGGAGACAAGAGACCCTACACAAGATATTCTTCTTGTACAATCCTCCAAATAATAAACCCGATTTTGAAAGAATAATACTCAATTGTGGTAGAAATTCACTTATATTTGGAGACACCAATGCCCCCTCAACTGGCTGAAGTTATTCAACATCAAAGAGTATTGGCTTCATAGTCAAAAATCTTATTGATTCCAACCCTATTGATTTCATTGAGAATGACGGAAATTCTCTAACTTTGCCCTCTTGCAATGGAAGTGGCTTTCATACTGATTTACTCCTAGCCCACCCAGCTCTGTCATGTAAAATACAGCATGAATTAATTGGTAGTCCTCGAGGTGCTGTGCATAAAATATTACTATCCAATATTGTAAGATATAATCCCCTACAGTGAAACTTGTCAGGGTTTCTACAACCTTAAAAAGGCAAACTGGCTAAATTGTAAAGGCCTCACTGATAAATTTATAGCCAACTGTTTAGTTTCTCCAAATCTTGAACATTCTTCAAAACTCTTTACCCATGCTATAGTGAGCTTCTCTTATGTATTCCAAGAGGACAAAAGAAATATACCCCTTTTCGGAATGACAAATTGCAGAAGCTTTGTGAAGACAGATATAAGGTTCATGAGAAGGCTCGGAAAACCAGCCTTAGTGAGGATTGTATAGCTTTGCATAAGACACAGGCTATCTTAAAAAGATCGATAATTGAAGCATAGAATTCCTCGTATAAAAACATTCTAGAAAAACTGGACTAGGAGGGATGGCATAACGTCTCATAATCTTTTGTCCCAGATAAACAATCAAAACATCAGAAGAAATGAAACTATAAAAAAAGGTTTTAAAGAGCTTACTACTGACAAAGATTTTTCAAACAACTTTTAGAGGGCATTATGTTAGGGTAAGCAATTACAGGCCTACTATTAAATTTAAAAAAAAAAAAAAAAGTGAAGTAAAACCACCTCAGGACAACAATTCTACGGGTTTTAAACGACTTTTTAATGCCAATTTCCCTACTGGGGAATTGAAAAATGGCCTTGATGCCTTAGTTAAAGGTAAAAGTGCAGACATGGATGAAATCTCTAAATCTGGGAGATTCTGCAAAAATAACTTTGGTATTCATTAACCAAACTTGGAGAAATTTCTTGCCAAGTGCTTAAAAAAAGGCCATAATAATACCAATTCTCACACCTAACAAACCAGCTAAATATGGACAGTTACCACCCGATTTCTCTTAAAGCATAATGTGTAAATTGAATGAGAGATTGACTGCTAACAGGTTAAAGTTTTTACTAGACAGAAAAAAAAACGCAGCTGAACAAATTGTATGCTTGTCCCAACAGATAAAAGACAATGCACTTGATAGGGTCTGGAGAGCTGGACTAAGTATGGTCATGCTGTATTAGGTTATAGTCAAACCAAACAGGGTTTAAACCAAGATGTTTTAGCTGGATTCTTTTTAATATAATTATCACTGACTTAAGACACTATTTCCCGTTCTGTCCCAAGCGTGAATGTTTTACTATTTGCTGATGATATGGTGATGAGTGATACAGGATCTGACTTTGCTCGCCTAGAAAGCATCCTACAACAGGTCTTGAATGTTTTCAACACATGGACTTATGAAAATAATTATGGTCATAAATACTGATAAACACTCTCTCAGTTGTTTTCCTTCAGTACAAAACATCATGACATTCAATTTCAGTTTAATGACAAAGACTTGAATAGAACTTTTGATACCGTCTACTTGGGTATTCACTTAGACCCAAAATTAACTTGGAAGAAACAAGTTGATTCAACCATTGATAATGGATATACCAGATAAAGACTACTGAAACGTTTAGCTGGTATCGCTTGGGGCTCAACCCAAGATGTCTTGTGTGCAAGCTATAAAAGTTATTTTCATTCTGCTGTTCAGTATGGAAATAAGGCTTTCATAACCACCTCAGATTCTGCTAAAAACAAGCTTGAACTATTCCAAAACAACATGTTGGGATTGATCACTAGTGGTGCTAAATCAACCCCCCCCATAGTTGCTATGGAACTTCAGGTTGAACTAGCACCATTAAATGAAAGGTGAAGAAGGGAGCCATAACCCTCAATGAAAAAAAATCTTATGAAGAAAATATAAATTTCTGAATTATTACAGACCAGCAAACAAAAGATTAAAAACCCACGATTCCTTCCTTTCTACTGTCCACGATTTTTATGATATCATACTCCTACACCCAATTGCTAGGTTTTCCCTTAGGAACTGATTTTTGTTCTAGATCAAGCTTGTTGGAGGCCGCCTGGATCTTATTTGGAATGTAAATAAATAGCTCTCCCTACAAAGTGAATTTAAAAGTGCTGCTCTGGCTACTATATCTAGTAGGTACCCTCCTGATGATTGGCTCCATGTGTATACTAATAGTTTGGCAGAAAATGCTTAAAAAAAAAAAAATCAGTGCTGGAGCATATTCAAGTACTTTCAGTATTAGCAATCATGTTAGGAAATACTTTGACAATTTTGATGGACACATAGCAGCAGTATCATTTGCAACTGATACACTGAAAGACAGTCCTAATCCCAATATTGTATTTCTTATTGATTCTCAAGCTGCTATATTGTCACTTGTGAATTCAAAATACAATGAAAATGCACATATCCATACTTGTAGAGCAAAGCTTTTTTAACTTAGGAATTCTAGAGAAAACATGACCTCCAATGGATTCCGAGCCATTGTGACATTTCCGGTAATAAGCAGGCTGATAGACTTGCTAAACCTGGTTCTCTAATGACTCAGCCCGATTCTCCTCTGCCTTTGCATGACATTAAAAGGATTGTAAACAATAAAATTAAGAATAATGGAATGTCCTTATACACAGATGCAGTTGTGTGTAAGAGGTGGAACCTCCTGCTTAACAAAAAGAATAAAATTCCCAATGCTTACCCTCAATCTGTTGAGAGTTGCTTGTTTTCAAATGCTAACTGGACATGATTATTTATTATCGAAGGCATTTATGTCATATTGGAATCAAGGATTCAGCTTGTTGCCCTTTATGCCATCAGGGTAACATGGATGAAGACATCTCAAGAACTGCCCCATTGTTTTAAAATTTTTCAGTGATAACTCTTTTGATGCTAGTTTTAAATCTTATTTTCATTCTTCTTCATTTACTGGGCTGCTCATTGCTTAATGGCAGAAATGCTGCAGACAGGCAGCACTTACAAATACTGACACTGAAAAATCACCATTGCCGTCCTGCCAATAACAATGCTTATGCTACTGCAACTTCCTCATTGAAAAAACATGTTCAACTGTAGCTAATGACATAACAGTAATAACTGTTCTATAACTGTTCATATGTTTAATGAAGAAACAGTGAACACAAAATTTCATCACACTTGTAAAAGTAACATACAATATCTACTTTAGGTTTTCTTCTAAGGAGTATCATAAATTTCAAGTTATGATGGAAGTACATTAGTACTCCAACATCCATGGACAAGTATTATAAATATCAACACTTCTATTAGATTACTATTACACCTTCTTCATTATGAGAAAAGCATGTTATTTCTACACATGTTTTTACATATCATCTAGCAGTACATAATAAGCTCTACAGACAGTTTGCCAGCTGACAAGGCATATTACTCATGAGTAAACTAGTTCCATATGTGAGGAAATGGGCTCAGAGATGTTTTTTCAGATAAATACATGTAAGAGGTAGTTAAGATGTGTTGATGAGTTAAAAGCATGTAGAATAACAATTTGCAAGGTAATATTCGTTATCTGTAAAACTGTACAGTGCAACCAGCAAACCAAGAGGTTATGCTTGATACACAGGGTTCATAGCCACATTTTAGTTAAAAAAATAAGCACCTATAAGCCCTTTTCATGCACATTTTAAGGAAAAAAAAAAAAAAGCACCTGTCTAATTACATCATACACAACTGCATAACCTTAAAAATTAGACTTGTAATTTAAAATATGAGAAATGAAGTACTTATTAAGAGAGAATAAGCATTACCTCAACCATGGAAAATAATTACCTTTTTTTTTTTTTTTTTTTTTTTTTTTTTTTTTTAAATTTTAAATAACAGTTCAATTTACAGAACTAGTTTTACAAGGAGAGTGGAAAAAAACTATGAGAACTAAACTATATTACAAGATTTAATGATGAAATTTCAGTTCAAAATAGAGAAAATAAATAATAATAAGGCACATTTATTGTATTCGATTGGAACCTAATAATAAATACAATTTATTTTTCCACTCATATAGATATTTAAATAATTTAAATCTAAATTCTGAACATTTTTTAAATTTTCATTGTATATCAGTTTTTTCTTAACAGATATTGCAAGCAAAGTAATTTAAGTAAAAAAGAGGAACATTTCTGAAATCAGAAGACAGAAATTTGCTTCATGCAGTCATCTTTTACAGTAAAAGCTTAACTAACCCACATACTTGGAAATTGGCGAATATTTGGACAGTCGAGCGTAACTTGAAGGAGCGGAGGGGGTACACTGTAGCTGCTCTTTAGATTTTTCCGCTAAATAAATGCTTTTGACATTTCAATATGTGCATCATATAAAAATAAACCAACGGAACTAAAAAATATTCTGCTTAGCAGGCACAGTAAAACTCGGCTGATCTTTAGAATATGGTAACTGGTAGTTTGGCGATATTTTGGAGGCAATAAAGGTTACTACCTGGGACTTTGGTAATAATGTGAGCAGTACTCAGTTCTGATTACGCATTATTTTGTGTGAGGGAAATGAGAGATCATGGGATATGTCATGTGATATTAATGGACGAATTATGTTTCTTTAATCAGAAAAGGGGGAAATTGGGAAAAAATCTGGAAATTTTGTATTTGGCTTTATTCCGTGTTGTGTGAAACAGTATTCGTTAATTTTTGGATCCCATGGCCCTAACTAAAGTGAATTCGAAATGGGTATTTAGTGGGATTGAAAGGGGTAGTAATAAGTGTAGGTTGTGCGAGACAGAAGTAAAGATGTTTTATTAAGTTATTTATTTTACCTGGTACCTTGGTGTTCTGAACTATAAGTATGATTTTAAAGATCCTGAAACAGAAATAAGAAAAGTTTATCGGACACGTAATCAAGATTCTGAACAAGAATAGGTAAGTTAGTATTTTTAATTATTTGAGGATATTATTTTTATGCATTGTTCTAAATGTAAGGTGGAAGTAAAGTAATTTGCGTAAACTTACATGGAAATAATTTAAATATTTGACACTAAGTATTTGTAACCATTTGTAATGTTTGCGGTATGAATTAGTTAGTGACGTTTGTAAAATAATAGATAATGTAGAGGTAAAAGTTTTTGGATATTTTATTTATTTTATATGGGGAAATGTTCATATTTGGAAAGGGTATATACTTTTTCGCGATCAGGTAATTTCATATATGTTCTTTTTACCGGGTTTAAAGATTCAGAAAATTGTTATGCATTTTCGTGAAATTTTTCTAATTTATGAGAAAAAAGCAGTGTACATGGATATAGTGAAGAGTGTGCGCAATGCCATTTTTGTGCAATTCTGGGATGTTTTTTTAAGTAAAAATAAGTCGACGTGTACATGGTTTAGAGATATTTTAATTCAATGATAGTTATTTTGTGAATTTTATGTTTGTAGGAATTTGGTATACGTTTAAGTTGAAATAAACGTGCATGGAAATAATTTAAATATTTGATACTAAGTATTTGTAATACTTGCGGTATGAATTCGTTGGTGACGTGTATAATGTAATAGATGATTTAGAGGTAAAAGTTTTTGGATATTTTATTTATTTTATATGTGGAAATGTTCATATTTGTAAAGAGTAAATACTTTTTCGCGATCAGGTAATTTCATATATGTTCTTTTTACCGGGTTTAAAGATTGAGAAAATTGTCATGTATTTTCGTAAAATTTTTCTAATTTATGAGATAAAAGCAGTGTACATGGATATAGTGAAGAGTGTGCGCAATGCTATTTTTGTGCAATTCTGGGATTTTTTTTAAGTAAAAATAAGTCAGCGTGTACATGGTTTGTGTATGTGTTATTTTGAAAAACGCATAAGGAGTATGGTATTGTGCACTTTTTCCCAATTTTGCAGTGAATATTTGTCATGATTAAGCAGTTTTGTTAGATAAAATTTCTAGCATAAGTGTAATTCGGCTAGTAGATTGTTGGAAGAAGTGTTCAGTAGATAAAAAGAAAAGAAACATGTCTTTACTTCGTGAAGACAAAATGGCGGCGGAAAAAAAAAAAAATAGAGGGTTGCTGTAGGAGAGTTGGTCGCCAAATTTTCGCCAAAAAACGCCAAGTTACCATAATGTAAAGATCAACCTAAAACTCTTTTAAGTGTTTATAAACAAATCTCGGACTGAACATCAAAATTAATTATCTCTGCAAAATACCGCAAACATTATTGCGCAATACGTGCGCCGCAATTCTTCCCTACGTGATATTACGCAATCAGAATCAACAACTGCCGGTATTGGGAGAATAAAGAACTAAATAACTGGGGTGTTTTTCATTCTAATTTTTAACAGATGACGTTAAATTTCTGGAATAGAATCATTCTTCGCTTGGGTTGGTAGACCGCGGAACCAGACTGGAAAGTGACCCCCCCCCCCCAAAAAAAAGGTCCATTGCTTGTTTTGCAGCGAACTGTAACAGTTTCAATATTCAAGATTTTGTGGAGAAAGGGGATACCTCCCAACCTTCGTACTATGTAATATATTGGCCAAAAAAATGAAATTATTTTGACTATTTGATTACTTTTCCTTTACTTAAGCCATTCCAAATATTATTCCTTAGGAAGCTAATCTGTGTTAAAACACAACCATTTTTGGAAGTTTACTATACTTCAGCAGTAACTGCTGACTTACTTCAGCAGTAACTGCTGACATATGTTATTATAAACATTCATACATATGCTCATAATATAAGCATAACGATCATAATAAACACGAATATGAACTGACCAAGCGGAACGAGAATGCAAATTTTTAAGATCTTGATAGAAATTCAAACGTGTGTAGTATTTGGGTGGGAGGAAAAGAATGCCGAATGTAGCGGAATTTTCTACTGCTTTCGCAATTCTTTGACCAATAGAACGACGGGCACCTGTCTATACTCTTCGTGCACCAAAGGTTATGTTAATGCAGAGAAAGGGGGAAAAGCTATTTCCGGGAGTATGACTCACCATTTGCCGTTTCATATGACACCCAAAAGGGCCTTTTTTAACATTTTGTGTTTTACCTTTATTTATTAAATATTACCTGGGTTAGCGAAAAACGCGGGGACCCCTTCTGCGATTCTTTGAGGAAACATTCCATATAAGAAAAAAGTTGTTTATTTATTTTCGGCTTTGGTACAGGGAAAAATATGTGCGTTCATTAAAAAAAAAAAAGCAATAAAAGCAAACAATAAGCACTAAAAACAAAAAAATAAGGGCTTTAAAGAAAAAGTAAGCACCTATAAGGGCCTTTATATTTTATTTTCAAATATAAGGACTTAAAAGCACTTATAAGGACCACTACGAACCATGATACAGTATGTTTTAAATTTAACATATTATCCTACATACACTGAATAAAAGTGGCCATATTCTTTTTTATTTTCTTCAAATCTGCCATTCTCTCAAACTTATTTCCAACTCACATCCGTATATATTAATGGCAATATTTTTTCACTTTTATCACTATTACTGACAAAATCACTTAACACTAACTTCCTTAACACTGAAGTTTTGAAAACCATTTCAAATTCTGCATTATTTCTACTTCTTACAATATTCACATTTTTAAAATTTTATATTTCAATACGATACTCCTTTAATAAAAGCATTTTATATATTATGAGCATATATCATTTTACATCTTGAGGATTAGATTTCTTAAACAAATATTCTGAATCAGCATAAGCTGAATTTAAGGAAGTAATTTTTCTTCTACTTTAATCTACATATTTAGCATTAAAAAAGAGCTTCTCACCACAGACCAAGTGGTTAAAAATCACCGAACATGAGTTATTTGTGTTCAAAGTAAATTATACATAAAATAAACAAGTATTTTTTATTTCATAGATTTAGGGGTTAATTTATAAAATTATCAAATAATAAAATGAAAGATTTTAATAAATTAACAAAGGATTAAAGCTTTGGGTGTCGGTGATGGATAATTTTTTCCAATTTTTACTTAAGATGCAAATTTAACACTATTTACTATCAATCACAAGTAAAAAAGAATAAATATAAAAAATAACATGTTATAAAAAGTCACTTTTCAATAAAATTTAAACACCATTTAGTTATTACAATGTAAAAATTAAATTCTGCATGATTTCACACTAACTTCTACTTTATACTAAAATTTCTACCACTTCAGAATTTTAAGCAAACTGCAAATAACATTAATTTAAATTCTAGTTAAAAAAAAGTACTAAAATAGTTACCGCTTATTTGACGCTTCAAACACTCCACTATCACCTGCAACAGATTCATCACTAACAGCAGCTGAAACACTTCGATTATTGGAATTTGTAAATGTACATGCTTGAAGATCATCACTTCCTAATTCACATATTGGACTCAGAGGTGGATTGCTATGCGAATCATTTGGAGAGTCTCCTAAGTTCCTTAAATTTACATTCTGATCACTAGAAAGAAATAATCCTCCCTGGCGAACTAGCTTTTGATCACTCAACACAATTTGCTCTGTTCGTAAAGCATCTGCAGAACAAGGAGCCAGTTTTAGGTCAGCTAATTGTTCCTCTAACCCAACTGGCAACTGTCTCTGCAATCTCTCTAAATGTGTCTGTTCATAGCTAGGTGGTGGTCCATATTCATAAGGCGAAATAGGAGGAGAAATTGATGACAAGGAAGATCGAGGTGAAAGAGATGGGACACTGTGACCAACTGAAAGAGGGACACTGGAAGAATCTTCAAAGTTGGTAGTTCCAGTAACTTGTGTGCTACCGTGAATAAGATGCCCAATACGTTTGTGTAAGTCCTGAAGCGAAGGATCAGCCGAACACTGAGGAAGCCCATAGATGTCAGTGAAACTCAAACTACTTAATGAGCCTTTGCTGCTTGCTGATAATGAGCCAGTGCTTAAGGACCCAAGAGAACTACTTGAAGACACTGATAATGTGCTAGCAGAGAGGCTAAGGAAAACAAAACATTTATATCCATTAATCAGTCTTTACACTCATTTATCACATCAATAATCAAGAATAAAAATTTAATAATTTTCTAAAGCTAGAAGTCTACCTCTTCAAATGAGACTCTAAAGACATAGTAACTCTCATTGAATCCCTGAGTTGCATTAGCAGAATATTCTTTTGCTCATGAAGTTTTAATCTAGAAATGAAATAAAAAAAAGTTTCACAAAAATAAAATTCTTTAAAACAATTAGTAATTCATTTTAAAAATTCTAAATACAAAAGCCCCCCGCAAAAAAAACAGGCCCCAAAAAGTGAAAGTAATCACATTAAACACTATACTATATTACAATTCAAAATGAGAATCTCCACCCTGATTTTCCTCTTTTTTCTATGATTATATGAATACTTTTATTCTCAAAACTCTTGTGAAATCTCAGGTGAACACATAGCCCAAAATAAATAACAGTCACAGGGTTATTTTATTCTTAAAACTCTCAGAAAATTCTGATGTTAAACTAACCCAAAAATAAAAAGTAATCACAGGTATTATTTGCTACAACTACATTATTTGCAATGGACTTTATAATTCACAATATTTTCAAGAGCACGTTTTTTTACAATGTCTCCTGATAAAATAAAAATTTTCGCATTTATTTGCCAGTTTAAAGACAACAGCAGTGTCAAAAATTAAAAAGTCTTTTAATGCGTACATTATTTTTAGCATGCAAATGCACTTATTTGCTGCTTAAAAAAATGTAAATAAAATGCAATAAATATATCACTTATGAACGAATACTAAAGCTAAATAATATTTATTATTTCTGTAACATATATGCAATAAAAAGCTCACCTCCTACTATTAGAAAGCTACAAAGTGCTCTCGGATACTAATTATACTGCATAAAAACATTCTAGTTTAATAACCAAAGTTGAAAATTAAACACACAAATACACAAGAAACAACAGTTATGCAGCTGTTGGCACCAGAGCATGATGTGCTGTCATCAATCACATCTGTAATCAGCAGCTGGTTGAAAATGAGCAAGATTTTGTTAAACATACTTCAGAAACTATATAGGAAACTATATAGGGTGAGTCTAAATTGTTTTTAAAAATTAAGAGGGGTGATAGTACCCATCCAGACAAGCATTAATTACCACAGAACATAGGGTTGCATTCCACTCTGAGAGACAGAGAAAAGGAATATTAAAATTCCAACCCGAATCTGCCACAGTGTTGGGAATGCGAATGAACGAGACCAAAAGATGCACAATAAGATTTATTGTTTAGTGGAAAAACTCGCAGAAAGTGCTTACATTGCCAACCATGCGTGTTGTTGCACTGTTAACATTGGCGAAGGAATGACTGGTGTCATGTTTATTTTGTCCTTGACATCAATGATTCTCACCATGAGATCTTCAGCAGAGTACACAGATGTCTCGTTACATTAAAAATTTCATGTGTCCCCAGAAGATAAAGAAGTCCCGTAGGTTCAGGTCTGGTGAGCGAGGAGGCCAACAACAGGTCTGCCACATTTGATCCATCGTACGGGATATGTGGTATTAAAAAAGTTACGGACTGTGGCAGCAAAATATTCTGGGGCTCCACTGTACATAAATCACGTCTCTCTGGATGGGGAGTAGAACAGCCTGCAATAAACTGGGAAGCACTTGTTCCAAGAAGGTATGGTATGTGTGCTGGTCAAACGGTCTGGCATGATAAGGTAATCACCTAAAATACCTGCTCACACGTTCACTGAAAATTTCTGGTGTTTATGAGGGGTAGTGCAATGGGGATTTCTGTCAGATCAAATGTGTTGATTGTGCACTTTGAAAATGCCTTCTCTGCTGAATGTTGCCTTACTTTAAACAATATTAATGCAGGAAATCATGGATCATTATTCCTAGAATCCACTGCTCAAAATCTGCTCCTCGGGGGTAGTCATCTGTGTCCAAAGATTGCACTTTCTGCACGTAGTAGGGGTGCATGCTTTCCTCGTGTAAAATATGCCATACCAATGCCACCGCTCAAGTACTTGTGGAAGGAGCTGCTTCAAATATAGTCAAAACTCAACTCTTCTATTTCTCGCATTCATGCATTTCACGAGCGTTCCGCATTGCTTTTCGAGATGGCAAAAGAACCAATTTCTTGCAGTCTTCGATCAACATTGGAAAAGATGTGATGACTTGGAATCATAAATTGTTCGTAAAATTTTCCTGCTTCGCGTCGATTCCCTTTTGCTTCACCATATGCGAGGTGAATATCTGCCAATTCCTTGTACATATACTTCACCATAGCATTCATGAGAAGTTTCGGAAGATGTTATCAAGGTAATACTTGAGCCATTTTCCATTTTCAAGAACACCATTTGTTCTGATTGGCTTTCTCCGGTACCAACTACAAGCAAAATGCTGCTTCTTAGCGCAAATTTGCTTGAAAGTCTCAGGAGATAGTCTCCTTGTTCTTCCTGAATGGGTTTCTATCGGGTCAGTCCATAAGTTCGTGCGCATTAAGAGTTTGCAAGAAATTCACTATGATGAATTTACTAAAACAATACAATTCTGAACCTGTTGAAACTTGTCATCGTTTGATTCACATATTTAGTCTCCTTGTTCTTCCTAAATGGGTTTCTATCGGGTCAGTCCATAAGTTCATGCGCATTAAGAGTTTGCAAGAAATTCACTATGATGAATTTACTAAAACAATACAATTCTGAACCTGTTGAAACTTGTCATCGTTTGACTCACATATTATTCAGTTCATCACTAACTTTCGTAAACGCATTTTAGTACCCATAGATGATAAATATAGTGCTACATTTTTTATTTTCGTGTGTTGAATCTGCCAGGTTTGCAGTGATAAAAATTAATAATGTATATGGTGTAAGGACTGCCCAGAAATGGTTTAAAAATTTTAAAGCTGGAAAAAAACAGCATTGATGATGAACCCCGTTCAGGACGTTTTGAACTGTTAGAACCCAATCAAACGATTAATTCAGAAGTTTATAGTGAAAAACTTAGCTGTCTAAACTCAAAATTGATCAGGGTTCATAGCCACATTTTAGTTTAAAAAAATAAGCACTTTTCAAGCACATTTTAAGGAAAAAAATAAGCACCTGTCTAATTACATTATACAAAACTGCATAACCTTAAATATTTATCACTGAATCTTCCAAAAATAAAAATAGCAAAATCGTTATACACCAACATTTATTCTATTCAAAATGTCACGCGGAATAAAAATATTTCACCTTTTTAATATGGTAAAATTACCCATCTGAAACACAGAAGATTTCAAAATATCATCAAATGTGACTAAATTAGACTTGCAATTTAAAATATGAGCAAGGCAATATTTATTAAGAGAATGAGCATTACCTCAACCATGGAAAACAATTACTTTTTTTTTTTAATTTTAAATAACAGTTCAATTTACAGAACTAGTTTACAATGAGAGGAAAAAAAAAAAAAAAACTATGCAGAACTAAACTATATTACAAGATTTAATGATGAAATTTCAGTTCAAAATAGAGAAAATAAATAATAATAAGGCATATTTATTGTATTTGCTTGGAACCTAATAATAAATACAATTTATTTTTCCACTCATATTAATATTTAAATAATTTAACTTAAATCAAAATTCTGAACATTTTCTAAATTTTCATTGTATAACAGTTTTCTCTTAACAGATATTGCAAGCAAAGTAATTTAAGTAAAAAAGAGGAACATTTCTGAAATCAGAAGACAGGGAAATTGCTTCATGCAGTCATCCTTTAACAGTAAAAGCTTAACTAAGCCGCATACTCAGGAAATTGCCGAATATTCGGACAGTTGAGCGTAACTTGAAAAAGAGGAGCGGAGGGGGGAGATTGTAGCCACTTCTTTAGATTTTTCCGCTAAATAAATGCTTTTGACATTTTGATATGTGCAATCATATAAAAATAAACCAACAGGAACTGAAAAATATTCTGCTTAGCAAGCACAGTAAAACTCTTTTAAGTGTTCATAATAAATCTCAGACTGAACATCAAAATTAATTATCTCTGCAAAATATCGCAAACGTTATTGCACAATACGTGCCAAATTCTTCCATACGTGATATTACGCAATCGGAATCGGAATCAACAGCTGCTGGTATTCGGAGAATAAAATAGAAAAGAAAAAATAAAGGAAAAGAAAGAGACTTACTAATCTGGGGTGTTTTTGATTCTAATTTTCAACAGACGGCGTTAAATTTCCGCAATAGAATCATTCTTCGCTTGGGTTGGGTAGACCGCAAAACTTTTAGTCCTATTCAATCCAGATTGGAAAGTGACAAAAAAAAAAAAAAAAAAAAAAAGTCCGCTGCTTTTCAATATTACAGATTTTGCGGAGAAAGGGGAGAACCTCCCAATCTTCCGTACTATATAATGTATTGGCCAAAAAAAATAAATTATTTTGACTATTCGATTACTTTCCTTTTATTTAAGCCATTCCGAGTATTATTCCTAAAACGCTGTCTGTGTAAAAATACAACCATTTTTGGAAGTTTACTATACTTCAGCAGTTACTGCAACTGTTATTATAAACATTCATACATATACTCATAATATAAGCATAATGATCATAATAAACACAAATATGAACTGACCAAGCGGAACGAGAATGCAAATTATTAAGATCTGGATAGAAATTTAAACGTGTATAGTATTTGGGTGGGAGGAAAAAAATACCGAATGTACCGGAATTTTCTACGCTTTTCGCAATTCTTTGACCAATATAACGACGGGCACCTGTCTGTACTCTTTGTGCGCACCAAAGGTTATGTTAATGCAGAGAAAGGGGGAAAAAGCTATTTCCGGGAGTATGATTCACCACCTGACATTCATATAAGGAAGAAAAGTTGTTTATTTAGTTTCGGCTTTGGTAGGGGGAAATAGCGCGTTCATTAAAAAAAAAGCACTAAAAGCAAAAAATAAGCACTAAAAACAAAAAAAAGGGCTTTAAAGAAAAAGTAAGCACCTATAAGGGCATTTATATTTTATTTTCAAATATAAGGACTTATATGCACTTGTAAGGACTGCTACGAACCCTGTTGATCAAAAAATGCCCACGATTGGTAAATATCAAGAAAGTTGTTTCCTCATGATAATGCTAGACTCGAACAGCACAGCAAAAAATTAGTGAATTTAATTGGGAACTTTTGTCACATCCT